GATTTATTATTATTATTATTATTACTTATTATTACTTATTATTACTTATTATTACATATTATTACTTATTATTACATATTATTACTTATTATTACATATTATTACTTATTATTACTTATTATTATTATTATTATTATTATTATTATTATTATTATTATTATTACGCCTTGAAGTGTGAATTATAAGATGGCAGGATGATGATGAGGGGGAAAGGAACAATCACAATTACGACCATGGCTACGCAGGGCTCGAACCTGCAGCGCCCTCGGCGCAGACGCCGGCTGCAACAACCGTCTACACGTCGGGGCTGGCTTATTATAGCTATAATTAATAAAAATTGTTATTATTGTTATTTGTGGTTTAGAAACCCTTCACCTGCTCGTATCTTTGATGCTCATGAGTTATGATATACTGAGCAGATGGTAGCGATAATAACGAGATGTATGATAATGGAGTAATGGTGGAATGAGAGGGAAATGGGAGGACCTCGAGAAATCTTTCCCAAGAACTCCATATGTGCGCCGCAAATTGCACGTGATAGGTCAGGAATCGAAGCGGGTCTCCCCTCCTCGTGCGTGGGCCCGGACGTAAGGCGTTACACCACAGCCCCCTCCCAACATTGGGGTAGAATACCGATGTACGATATAGCTCGGTGCAGCTACAGGCACAGCTGGAGGGTTGGCAAACAATAAATCAATATTGAAGTCAATACTCGAGACTTCGAGCAGCACGTACGCGCCAAGACTATGTATGTTGAAATGTTTAATTTACTTTAATGTTGTTCGAGAGTATTTTATTTGATGCTATTGAGTAGTGTGTGTTACTTTTTGGAAAACCATTTCGTTTGTTTTTGATCAGCACAATTCATGATCCTACAGGTTACTAGTACAACATATTCTTTAAAGAAAATAAATACTCCCTGGTGCAAGTTATTTAATGAAAATATTCTCAGAATTCTTTGAATGTTCAATTAAATACGTACGATTTCCTGTTACGTCATGTAACGAGGCGATAGCTAATAATTTACTGCGCTCCAGGAAAGACTTTTCGCAGAAGCACCTTGCTTTTGAAAGTGCTTGCAATGGAAATTATGTTGGTAGTACTACCTGCAGCATGTAACAAAAGAAAACGTAAATTGCGTACTCACAACAATCATAATAGTTGCTGGAATTGCTTCCCAGGGAATCGATTCTGCCAACATAAATGTAACTTTTAAAAGGAGATCCTTATTTGGGTCGGTGTGGGCCTTGTAGTAGTTAAACTAATAACATTTAAATTATAGGTGTTGTAGTGCGTTATCGTTGGCATTTTTCGTGAAATAATTATAAACGTTGTCATTGCCAACAGTAGAAACTGTTACTACTGTTGGCAGTGACAACGTTTATAATTATTTCAACATTTAAATTACCCATGGACGCAAGGCGAATTAGGTTTTTGTTTACAACGCCGTTAATGTAGAGATCGTTTTATTTCGCTGTGTCAGCCACTTTATGGTGTTTCGACGCGCGTTAAGAGCTTACGTTGCACGCACGACGTTTGACGCGCAGCACTGAGAGGGTGGCGAATACTTTTGTAATTTCTTGTGGAGTTTGTTAACATGCTAAACGACCTTTGATGAAATGAAGCTTTTCTCCCGCATTTAAAAAATAATGATAACCATCTGTATTCTGATTAGAGCTCTGATTTTTGTTGTGCAGAATCGAATTCCAAAATGTGTAGTAAAACGGAGACATATGCGGTTAAAACTTCACATTTTAATGTGGTGTAAAACAAAAACAGAAATATGTTCGCTATTGATAACATGCTCAAGGCAAACGCAAGAAAAGTGATAGATGAGACCTATTTCACTGGAATCACATGTTTGAAGAATATTTAATTTTAGTGTTTGCATATTCGAAAAATATGAGATGAGTTCACTTTTGGTGAATTTGGAAACATTGTTAACAAACCGCTTATTGACCTACAACGAAATTTTTGTTTATATCATTATGATATTCAGGGACATATGTGTTTCACAATGTTACATTGTCACCGAAAACTTGAATATGAATTTGAAATTCCAAGCTTTGGACGCATATTGAGGTTCGCATATCTCTTAATCCATCATTAAATGTTAATTTGTTCTCTCCAGTTGATCTATTTTTAATTACATAATTAATTACATATTTTAACTACATAATTAATACCATGTTATTAATTTGTAGGAACTCAAATTTCAGTGGTAAATTTCAATATTTTCCCTTAAGGCAGATTTATGAATTGTTAATCGTCCGTAAAGTGTTGACCTTTCGTTAAATAGTGCGGTAAAATATTCTTATTGGACTGGTTTGAAACTAGAGGTGCTCCAACAACACGTACTTTCTCGCATTATAAATGATTTTGCAATTTTAGATAATTCAGAGAGGTAAATAAAATTGTCATTCTTTTGAGCTTACCGTTCTATATTCGTGGAAAAGAGTCAAATATACAATTTTGAATGGTTTGTGAGAAAATATTATTTTATACATTCCATTAATTTCAAGCAGATATTGCGCAAAAAACACTCGTTTCTTGCAGGAAATTGTACATGCCCTTTTAACAGGAAGATATCTTCACTCTGCGCTTGTTGCGTTGAGATCTCCTTTTGCTAGTTGAGGTAGGAGCAGTATCAAGGCAGCGGGTTACTAATGAAAAAGCTGATAGTGGGATGAATATAAATTTTCTTTAACTCAAAAGCGAAAATGTGTAGTTTTCAAATGTTGTTAACTGTGCTTTATCCATACTTTCAATCACTGTTCGACAATTATAGGAAAAGAGAGTAGTAGATATTTTGAATCTCAAGAAAACGTTATTTTTCGTCGATTTGACAAAAATAAATATAAAGTTAAAACAAAAGCAGAGAAAATATCACAGGTGGCTGAAGAATATATCTTTACAAGATCTTATATATTAAATTGGATTGCCAAAACAAAATTGAACTTTGGAGGACTGAAAACTATGAATCCAATGACAAAGCTTTTGGTGAATGATGCTTTTGGGGATGATGAGGATGATAAATTGTTCCTAATAATCTCCGTCCACTGCAATGAAGGTGGCAGCCCCAACCACAGCGTTTGAAAAAATTTACGCGCGTTAAAAATAACCGTTACAATAAATGGAAAGTGTGTTTGTTGATCGCCGTCGATCGCAGTGAAATCGCGGATGACAACCGCAACGCGCGATCGGCCTGGTGGAATGGCAGAGTAACGAGTTCACTGGAACCTGTCGCATGTAACCACAAACGGCGGGGCGTGGTGTTTGCATGTTACCACCGGCATGTGAGCGGCGAGATCAAAGCGCAAATGTGTTTGATCTCGTCTAATTCCTCTATTTCTGTGACAAATTTTCTTCTTTGATAAAAAACTTTTTATGGAGTACTCGGCATCATACAATCACGACGCTTGTAGTGACTGGCGGCTCGCAATTGTGAGTATTAATCAGTGTTTCCGACGCTTGCCGAAGATGTCTCGATCAATGGGCTCAGCTTTGGTGGCTCAGGGCATTATTTGAAGACATTCCAGTGACTCTGACTGGGAGATCCGAGAGTTCACGTTCCATCGTTTGCAGGATTTATGACACTTCCTACTTGTAATGCATGTACTGGGCGCGACAGCCCGTGAACAGACTCAGGCGTACCGGTGACGTTCTTTCCTCGCTGTCATGGGTTAAGGGGATACGTGTGGTTAGTACGTAGTCATCCCCACGCCGTATTCCGGTCTGCACAACCTGAGAAGTGAACTTTCTCATCGTCACACAGTAACATATACAGGAACATTGCAAGGAAAACGCACACTATAGTTTTGACTCGACCAGAAATCGAACCCGGGGTCGCGAAATGGAAAGCAAATACGTTGTCCACGAGCTAGCCAGAAGCCGACACTAGCTACTTAGAAGGAATTCAGCCTCTGTCTAGAGAAGAATTCTTCCGGCCAGCTGCTCTGATCGGTAGTTATTCGAGGTTTCTCCTATCAACGCCAGGCGAATGCCGGAACAGTACCTTAAGGACCGCATGGATCTTTCTTTCCTCTTTGTGGTAACTTAACACTTTATGATCATAATTATTATACAGTATGGTATAAATGCTGATGAAGTATGACAGAATCAGTTGCAGGGGAATGGTAAGAATTCATAGAACACTTGTCACGAAAACGCTTTCCCCGCCAATAATTTCTCACCAAACGAACGTCATCAGATCCTCTGATCCGAAAATCGAAAAAATATTGCAGTGGCTCGACTCTCTGGAATGAAGAAAGGCAGAGAAAAAAGAAAGAGTACAGATC